AAATATGGGGAGTTACAGACACTTGTTAGCTGCCATGTGGGTGCTGGGAATTATATTTTTTCTTCAATATAAAGTTTGTATATGTTTTTCTTATTATTTACAGTTTTTTGCTATTATAACATGGGACTTTACTCCTTTTCTCAACAGAAAAGACAGTGGCTTCTTATGTTGCTCTTATATCTACTTCCTGGGGTAGAGAGATGGCTCAGCAGTTAAGAGCACTGGCTGCTCTTGCAGAGGATCCAAGTTTGATTTCCCAGCACGCACATGACAGCTATCAACTAACTGTCTGTAACTCCAGTTTTAGGGGATCCAATACCCTCTTCTGGTTTCTGTGGTCTTTGCAAGACACAGGTGCACTTACAAACATATAGGCAAAACACTCGTGCACATAAAAATAAAAATAAATTAGCCGGGTGTGGTGCCGTATGCCTTTAATCCCAGCACTTGGGAGGCAGAGATGGGTGGCTCTCTGAAGAGTTCGAGGCCAGCCTGGTCTACATAGTGAGTTCCAGGCCAGCAGGAGACTCTGTCTCAAAAAGACCAAAAAATAAAAAATAAAAATAATTAAAGTAAGTTTTTAAAAAACCTACACTGTAAACTCCTGTTAGGTCCAGATCTAATATCAGATATTCTAGATCTTAGAATATAGCATTTAATTTTAAGCAAATTTAATAACTAACAAAAATCTAATAAGAAAGATGAGTTGAAATCAAGAAACATGGTGGCAGGTAAGCTCTGCAGAGCTTTGAAGTAAAGACAACAGCTCATGTACTTGCTGTAGATCAAGATTCTGGCATAAAAACAAGGAGAAAAAAAATAGATGTCTTGGTCTAACCTCCCTCTATTATGGCTTCACACTGACTGTTAAAATTACATTTACTTATTTTGTGTGTGTGTGTGTGTGTGTGTGTGTGTGTGTGTGTATGTGTATGGGAAGGGTGTGCTCATGTGGAATTACACAACCTTCAGAAGTTGGTTCTCTCCCACTGGGCATGTGGGTCCCAGGGACCAAACTAATGCTGTCCATGAGGCTTGGCGAAGTTCCTTTACTGGCTGAGTCATCCTACCATCTCTTAATATTGATTTTTGTTCTCACAGATTGAATTCAAGTTCAAGAGGAATGCAATGTTCATTTTTACTGATGGAACAGTAGGGACAAAGAGAATACTCTTTCAGAAAAACATTTCAGAGTTTTAACACTGCATTCTGCAGTTTCCAGAAACTAACCTTTTGCCCACTACAAGCATAGGTAAAAACACAGTCATCTTTTTTTTTTTTTTTAAAGAATTTTTCCAATTTTAGCATTCACCCAATGGGTTTTGACCTCACTTTTTTAAAATTAAATTTTGTTGTATTTCATACAGAGTATCTCAAACAATCGGAATCATCTTTATAGCCCCACCCCCACTAGTACCCTCCCACAACCACACCCACCTACTGGAACCCATATACTTTATCCTGGGGATTAAGGCCCACTGTGTCAAGTCAATGTCCCCAGACATTCCCCAGTGCAAGTCCATTCATTTGCAGTTTAGTCGGATCCCTTTCTTTTATCTATCCAAACACCTCTTATCATTTTCCTTCCTTCCTTCCTTCCTTCCTTCCTTCCTTCCTTCCTTCCTTCCTTCCTTCCTTCCTTCCTCTTTCCTTCCTTCCTTTCTTTAACAGAGCATAGGTGGAGGTTTAAGAGGAGTGGTCCCCTCCCCCCCATTTACGGATGCACTGGAAAGTCCACACTGAAATACAGATCCTGTGACTTCCCAAAAGTCGCAGAAAATGATGAGAGGTTCTTCCTGGCATTCTCGGCTTCTATATCCTTAGCACCTCTCCCTCATGCAGCTAATTGACCTCACTTTCTATAATATACACATAACCTGAATTTCAACACTTACTATTTTTTTTTTTCCAAACAGCTTAGATACATATGATACATTCTTTTAGGGACAGGAGCTGAAAGAAAAACTTCTCAATACTTCTGAAAAGGGGTTGGGGAATAGAGTTCAGTGGCAGAATGCTTATAGCCCTAGGCTGAATGGGTGGTGGTGGTGGTGGTGGTAAATATTTAGCCAGGTGTACCAGCTCAGGACTGTAATCCCAGCAACTGGGAGGCTGAGGCAAAAAGGTTCAAGACCAGGCTAGGCCAGACCCTGCCTCAAGAACAACAACAAAAATGAAACAAAATACACAGTTCTTATAATATTTCTGAAAATTTTTGTTTTCTTTTGAAGATACTAAATCTAAATCAGTGGTTATATTTTCTAAATTCTCCAAATAAGCATAGCATAAAAGACTGCTAGAGAAAATCTGAAAGGCCAAAATAATTTTTTAGACAAGCATTTCCTAACTTTTATGATAGTGAGCTTAAGTACATGACAATATTCTTTTTTAAATTTTTTTTGCTTTATTTTTATTTTATGTGTACGCATATACTACATACATGTATGAAGGTACAATGGTGTCATACAAATCTATGAAGAATAGAAGAGGCCGTCAGATCCCCTGGAACTGGAGTTAGGGACAGTTGTTAGCTGCCATGTGGGTGCTGGGACTCAAACTGGGGTCTTTTGCAAGAACAGCTAGTGTTCTTAATCGCTGAGCCGTAGCTCCAGCCCATGACAATTTTCTTTTGTCTTTACAACAAAGATTGATCTTAATTGGAAATAGTCAAGAAGAATTTTTTTTTCCATATTGAAGGAAAAATTGTTACCCAGGTTTCATAGCAGTCTCGGGAGACTGGCTACCTTTAGCTTATAGAGAAACTCAGCTATGATTTATTTATTATATAATGAGAGTTGGCACAGAACTCAACATGGGAATTATCAAATTTTAAGTATTTACCAAAATCTTGTGCATGACTTCATCTGGATGTAAAATTCCATTTGCTTTGTTCCCAACACAATACAACCAGGTTCTAGTTAGGAGCAGGAGGGTATACAGGTCATACAGACGCTTTATGCAAAATGCTCCCATTACTTTTTCTAGTTGGTTTACCCTAGGGAATTCTTAGTGTAGGAACTATTATGAAGACAGGATTCAGAAAAAGCAGTACTTAATCTTAAAGACCAAAGGGATTATACCCCAGGTCCCATGTTCTGAAACTAGAAGTTCCAAAGGCAAACTGGGCTCACTGTCTGGCCCGCCTGAAAGGCATGGGTGCTGAACATCATTTCAACTTATTTCCCACAAGCCTGGCACTGGTCAAAGAGAACGGTAGGTCTTTTTTGAAAGACTCTGTTACTGCATAAGGAGTTTGTGACCCTGGCCCTGGGAGGGGGTGGGGTACCTGTTTGTTTGGCAGCTCCACTCCAATAGACAGCTTAGGATCTAAGCTTATGCCAAAAATCACAAAGGCTTCTAAGGAAACAAATAACCAAGTTTCTAGAATTAGTATCAGATGAGCCAAAACTTAAAAAAAAAAAAAAAAATTAACAGCTTTCAGAAAAATAATGAGAAAGACATTTTGGCCTTGACCCAGCAGAGGATGAATGTGCCCCTGGAAAGAAGTGATGTGAACTGAAATTTCTCCATAGTAACAATTCTAATTAATAATGCAAAGCTAGGGGTTGATTTTCTAAGGTTATGAGCTAACTATGTAGCCTTCTGTTTATATCATTAAAATCTGCCTTCTTTTACTCTTTGTGTCTGTTTACCTAGGTATTAATAAGAAGCTTATAATGCAATCCTAACAGCAACCTTGTAATAAAAATTCTACTTTTAAGATGAGTTTGCCGTTTTATAGACTCAGTTTAAGGGATAATCAGTAATAAGCAGAAATTTTATATATATCCCACATAACCAAAACATCTAGAGGGCCACTGAGTGTCTTAGAAAAGCATGGAAACAGAGATTAACAATACATAAGCTCTTTTGAATTAAAAAGCTAGCTATAAAGCCGGGTGTGGTGGCACACACCTTTAATTCCAGCACTCGGGAGGCAGAGGCAGGCAGATCTCTGTGAGCTCAAGGCCAGCCTGGTCTACATAGTGAGTTCTAGGACAGCTGGGGCTACAGGGAGACCCTGTCTCAAAAAGACCAAAAAAAAAAAAAAACTTCGTGATGTCTCAGTAATAAGTGTACTTTACCCATATTTTAACAGAAATGAAAAGTGAAATATCATTTGACATTAAGTAATTTTTAAAGGGCCGTTCTCCAATAAGACCAGATTAACATGGGTTTAAAGAGTGAAATGTAGCCTTTCAGGGCAGTTAATTCTTGAAGCTAACATTTTTATTATGCAACACAAGTAGACAGTACCTTGATTTTCTGTCAAGAGAAATAGGAATTTAAGACTGACTGAGCACCAGAATACCCTTGGAGGAGGGTTGCCACATAGAATGCAATGCCACTACAGTCACAATGGCCAAACAGGCCCCAGAACACTACAGACAGGAATGAAACTGAAGCCAAATTAAGCTGCTCTCCTTATAATGAGAGCGAGCAGTCTGGCATTAAGTGGGGCTACACCTGTTAGGAGTAAAATTTGATACTCAAAAACACAAGAACCAGTCAGGCAGCAGTTGGTCAAACATATAAAATGCACTGCATGTGGGACAAGGGAAAGGACTTTCTAGAAATCAAATTCCTGAACACACCTGCTATCCCTTAAAATCTTTAACTTTGCCTCTGGACCTGAATGGCCTGCTAAAATTATGAGCTTTTAATGTCATTTGGGGGAGGCTTTGGTTTAGAATTCAAACTGAATTTTCAAAGCCACTTCTCACTTTAAAAAAAAAAGCGCTGAGAAATATACTGAGCAACTCACAGCCTCCAGGGTGCTGTTTGTCCTGAGCTTCTGTCGGCCATTCCCAAAGTCATACACCCACCCAGACTGAAGCCAGTAGGATCTGGCCACGCAGCACCACGCAGCACCATGCAGCACCACTCAGCACCACGCAGCACCACCTAGCACCAGGCAGCACCACACAGCACCACCCAGCACCACGCAGCACCACCCAGCACCACCACCTCGGTAGCTCAACTCATTTTTGTACACATACCTGCTTCCTTCTTGTTGACTTTCCCTCCCTCTCGGCTCTTCTTTAGCACAGCCTTCAACATTTTCAACACTCCTCTGTCTCTAAAGAGAAAACGAAGAGGAAAAAAAGAGGACTTAAATATTGGAAAAATTGGAATACCGCTTGCATATTGACCTAAAATGTAATTCACACTTAAAAAAAAAAAGATCCCCTCAGGATATCAAAGGTACTCTTGGGTTTTATATTAATTTCCTATGAATAAAAGTATGGTGCTAGAGACACAGGAATGCTTTATAACTTTTAATGACGAGATCAGAAGTTCACTGTCATGTTATAAAAGTTACAAGAACCACACACAGTGCATTCTCCACATTCCACATCTAATTAAGGTTATGGGGCTAAACCTAGGTCCATCCATTATTAGTAATGAGACTTTTTGGCATAGTAATATAGCCTGCCAAGCCAAGCTCATCAAAATCAGAAAATAAAGATTAGGCCTAATAAGGAAGAAGTTACCTGGTTAAAAAAAAATGTTTTACAGATGCCACTAATTATAAACCACAAGAACCATTCTGAAAGGTTATTGGATTGAAACATATAAGCATTTGCAAAATAAATATGGAGGGACACATTTTAAGCCTGATGCCAGATTAAACAGTACACACTCATGTGCATTTTTACTATACATAGATATGACTTTGGGACAGGGAAGGTGGTGAGGAAAACAGGCCTATGGATTACTGCTGGATCTTTTAAAAGAATAAACTGCATTTTGCAGCAGGCTTGTACTGAGTTTATAAAAACAACACAATGGCCCAGGCCTAAGATGAAACTGGAAACCATCTCTACAGCAAGAGACAATGGGACCATTATTTCATCATGAAGCTAGTGTCCCTTAGCAATCTCCCCACCCAGTTTTAGTGTTTGTGGCTGGACAATCACAAACACTAAGAAATCCCAGTAGGTTGAATATCCAGCACACTTCACTGATGCACCAAGAGAAAACAGAAGGCAAGCAGGCTGCTCCAGGACAGAGAGGGTAAAGGGGAGGAAGGAGCAAGGGGAGGCAGGAGAAATGCCTTCTAGAGGACTCCCAAATATGCCTCCCTAACTTGAAGGCTTCAAATGGCCTCAGTGTGACAAGCACCCCTCAGTCCCCAGCAGAGAGAGTCAGAGAAGCCGATTGAGAAGGATAAGGAGGCTCTGTGCTGCCATTCACAGAATCACAAAATAAGCAAGCAGGGTGACCTCTCTTATCATTGGTCCAAGCCTGTATTTATTTTTCTGAACCCTTTGTTTTACTGATGAAGAAACAGAGACCCTGGGAGACTGACTCGCCCAGAGGTCACTCAGCTAATTAACAGCAGGGCCTGATTCCAAATGTGCAGAGTTCCAGCAGGGTTTTGCCTTCCACAGCTGGCTGGCTGGCCTCTCCTCTCAGATCAGTGAAAGCTTTGGGCAAACAAACAAACAAAACTGAAAGATATTAGGAAGATAATATCTTAGACAGCATTTGGAGAAAGTCATAGTGGTTATTAGGGTTAAATCGTCTTGCAAACAAGTCTTTACGCACAAAAGGAGCAGGGCTCAGAGCCTAATTCTGCTTTAGAAATGCTACTTGAATGGGCACAGTATCTTTCCATATGGAGAGCTGTGGAAATAAAGAGTTTCTCCTGACCATCAGAGCTTAAAGAAAACAATGCAAAGTGATGTGCGATTAAGAAGGGAAGACAAACAGGGCCTAGTGGTATATACCATCAGTCAGGAACCTGAGGCAGGAAGATCACCAATTTCAGGTCAAGCCTGGGTTACCTAGGAAAACTTTCTCTATGGAATTTTTTTTTTAATTAAAAAGGGCAGGCAAAATAAAACAGATACTTAATAGGCACACACATCATCTTTTTCTTCTTCAATCAGCTGTTAGGGTTTATAATTTAGCAAAGACTACACACTTTAAAAAGGGTATAAAATAGCAGCAGAGGCATACCATAAGTTTGCCATGGCATCTCACAGTCTGTGATAGCTGTTGCCCAGCTCTGTATTTACTGACTTTTTGGCCTGTTCAGGCCACAGCATGTCCATGAAGCTGCCCTTAATTTATCATCAGGGCATTCCCAATTTGCAGCAGAACAACCATGCCACCCACCTACAGAGCAAGTTCTAGACCACACTGACTTTTGGCACCTCATCCCGGATACATTACTTGCTTGTGTTGGGAGACCAGCTGTTTTTAGGATACTCACGTCTTCCACATCAGTGGTCTTAAGTGTAAGAGGATATCAAATATCTATTGTAATTTTTTATTCCTCCATAAATAGCAAGTCAGGGGAAAAGAGCTTAATTTTACTCTAAAAGCTATTCAACAGTGACATGGACAAATGGATTACACTGAGTGCAAAAGTAAGGACCCTACCAAAGAAAATGAGAATGTAAAAGATGTTTAAAAAGATATGGGAATGGAGATATTTTCCAAAATAGAAAAAATGAGAAAGCCTAAGCAAGTGATGAAGGTCTGTTTAGGTTTGTTATGATATATAAAGGATGAGACAAAAATAATATACACATCATCTTAAAATTTCTATGGTCATAGTTTAGTCAACTAGTTTAAGGAACAAAATATAAATCTAGATAAGTTTTATCTGAGAATATTTGGTTTTTCAACCCAAGCCTTATTTACATAGCACATGATAATTGAATGTACCAGACTAGTGGAACTAACCTTATTGGATGTTTAACAGTCATAGTTTG